GCATTTGTGGAATTTGCGAAGTTTGCGAAGTTTGCGAGGTTTGCGAGGTTTGCGAGGTTTGCGAGGTTTGCGAGGTTTGCGCCATATCCCTTCCGTTGACTCCCATTGCGTTACCTGCAAGGTCCCAAGGTTTGCTCTGAGGTTTCCTCATCACGTCTCGTGACCTAAAATAGGACCTGGTGCTCTCGATCTAATCACTGCATCCCTTTCTCCCAAGAGCTTCGAAGGACGCCCTGTCCAGAATAATGACCAGTCAACAGTTACTTCATTGTCTCAACGGTAAAGCCCGATGTCGCCGCCATCCTTGTCGAGGCACCGCAGATGTCCACGTTCAGGTCCTGGGGAATAAGCAGCAGCTGAAAGCCAGACTGCCCACATGGGAAAAGCCCGTGGAGAGACCCTGCATCTCGCATCTCACATCTCGCGCTAGGTCTGTTGGTAAGTAGGTACAGTAGTATCCTTCCTGTCACTTGTTGTCTGCCAACCCCCCCATCGAGACATGTCTCTGGGTACACTTTTCCCTCTATCACCCTCAGCGCTGCTGAGCTCTGTCTCCGTCTCTGTCTCTGTCTCTGGTCAACCGTGTCAGAGGACCTCGTTTTCACCGTCCTCTCCCGCGGCTCGAGGTGTTTGCTATCAAACCTCAGGAAAGACATGGCTGCTGCCGCGGTTGCACCAACGGTGTCAGGGTCTGTGGCTAGAGCCGATACCACCATAATAACCGCCTCAACCACCTCGACTACATCTGCGGCTGCAGCTGCAACTACTTCAACGACTGCGCCCGAAGCCGCTGCGGTGACTTTGCCAACTACCGCTACTACGGCTGCTGCAGCCGCCGCGGAGCAAACAACACAAAGAGAACAAACAACTACCCCACAAGTGTCCAACAGCCCAGCAGCCCAGTCAGATCCTGTGACAAGTTCATCAAGCACTTCCTCTCTTCCGGTGTTGTCTAGTCAGCAAACCAGTATCACCACCAGTTCATCCCTGAGTCCTGTCCAACCCGACTTCTCGTCGGGTCCGGAGGCCATCACCTCCACAACAGAAACATCAGCCCCTGGCACCAGCAATGGCCTTAGCAACGGCGCCGTGGCTGGCATTGCTATTGGTTGCGTTATCGCCGGGTTGATTATTGGAACGCTCGTGGCCTTTTTCCTCCTGAAACGGCGGTCCAAATCCTACCCGGAGGCAGATGTCGTGGTGACACGCAACCGTGGTAAGAGTTGGGACTCTAGAGCTTTCACAGCCACCCCGGTAGAACCCATGTCGGCCGTCTCAGACCTCGACCAGTTCCTGCTGGCGCCCCGACCTGATACAGAGCTGGCTGGCGAGCTACGCAGCCTAGGCCATCTGATCCAACAGCATGTGGAGGACAATTACCACCTGCTTCCTCTAAAGAGGAGCATCAGCTCGCTGAGCCAGGCCCTCACAGGGCTGGGATTTACTGCTGATAATAAGGCACTCCCGGGACCGGAACGGCTCGCCGAGTTGACGGCCGATCCGAAAACGAGGCATTACGCTCTACAGCATGTCATCTCAAGGGTGATATTCGAGAGTCTGGCCCTCAGGTCCACGAGCAAGCTTTCGTTGCTGCCTCCTGCAGTGTCGGTTCTGGCGAGGGAGATGCCGCCGTGCGAGAAACATCTGGGTAATCCCAAGGGTCAGTTTGCCTTCTCATCACTTCCAAGACATAGACACTATCGCTGACACGTTACGTTACTAGCCTTATCTCAAGCTCTCGCGCGATGGCGGCAGCTATCCGCCTTCTTGCTTAACCCCAACCGCAGTGAGCGAGGCAGCCTTGTTCCTGACGAAGTCTCTCTAGCACCACGGGCGAGGAATCTTGCCGTAGCCATGAACAACTTCTTGGAGGCGTGTGTCGAGGAGCGGAATGTGTACTTCCAGGAAAGCCATCTCCATGATGTCGTGCTCGAGTGTGCGAAATTAGGCTATATGGTCTTCTCACACCCGGAAGAATTGGCATGGAAATTTGATTCAGGCATTGCGGATAAGCTCGTGCTGTGTCCAGGCCTGGAGAAGGTTAGTGATAGTCAGGGTGTCGGGTGTAGACCAGAGGTCATATGTCCTCCAGTGGTGCATCGTGTATGACCATCAAGCGGTCATTGCCGATCTGGAATTGATTTGGAAATATCTCGAAATAATCGTAACGAGATGAAGAAAGAGGGGCATATTACTGCCATGTGGTGGTCCCCTGTCACGCATGTGTCTTAAGTTGCGGCATATCTCGATTAGCCCTGCGCATCTTGATTAACCCCTTCTACGAAGGTTCTCCCGTAGAAGGATCTGAGGATGAAATCCCAGGAGACCCGCAGGGGGAGATTTCGTGATCTACATACAGCCCAGAAGCCCAGAAGCGCAGCTGCCACAGTAATAGTTCTCCTAGGTAGTCCTTCTCGAAAGGCGCATGTGCGTTAGGTCAACTGCACGGAAGCGTCGCACCCGGCCCAATGGGCCAACCCGCATACGCCCATGGCCTCAATATTCGGCCATGCCAATTCCTGCCACCTCCTCTTTGCCACCTATGGTCGCAGCCCACATGCAGACACATGCGACAAGCATGCAATCCGCTTACGAATGGAGAAATGATTTTCTACCCCCGAAGATTACTGAGACCTCGTTCTTTCGTGAGGTGCCGAGCAGAAAGCAGCAGAGCTCGAGTTCTCGAGTGGTACATGTAATAAGCGCGCGCACTCACACTTGCTTGTTCAAATCTGACAAGTATCACCCCGCTCTTTGGCTGTTTGTCAATCATTGTGTCAGTCTCTGTCTGTCAGTCTCTCTACGTTCGTTGTGACGACAGAGCTGAAAAGAGACAGACTCCCCATTCTCCCGGTTTGATAGCATGGGAAGAGGAAGTAAAGAAGGGCCGCAAGTTGCTTAGACGTCGACTTTGGGTACGGCTGCCCGGGCCGGGTAAAACGAAAAGAAAGATGCTTACGAGGAGGGCAAGCACACTGCCCCCCGTCTCATCCGATGTCCTCGAACCCCAACGCACACCCCGTGCCTCTCTCGAGCATGAGGCCCGATCAGAGCCTCGGACCTCCACGTCCGACGAGGCTCAGGCTTGTTTCAACCTCATCCTGATCCTACGCCATGACACACAACACCTCATCGCTCTGCGCAACGACAACATACAGTCGCTCGAGGAAACGACTATCGCCCGGCCGCTGCTGACCGGCGTCAACGATGCCATCACCGCCGCTACCAGGAGCATCCACGAGCTCGGACCCTTCCTGGAGAGGCACAGGTGGCCGACCCCGCCCGAATCGCCGTCTCGGAGCCCGATACGGCTGAAGATGTTGAGGAAGAGGAGCAGGAGCTTCTCCACCCCATCCATCGACGCCGGGACACCAAGCCCGAGTCTATCTCCCGAGGAGCTCTTCGAGCGGACACTGGCCCTTACGGCGGAACACAGCGCCGTCCTGTCCGCGCTGGGCAACCTGGAGGAGTTCCTGATGCACGGGACCGCCGCGCTCAACGAGGAGGACCGCAGGCGGCACGACGCGACGCAGTCGTGGTGGCAGCAGCGGCGCAGCGAGTTTGAGAACGTCGGCCTGATCCAGTCCATCCTGCAAGGGCCGAGGAAGAACCCGAACAGGAGGAGCATCAGCGACGGCAGCGGCGCAGCTAAGGTGCCGGCAGCCGTGTGCGCAGGCAGCGCGGAGGAGAGGGAGATCGGCGTCGCCGTCACGGCATCCTCGCCGACGGCGATATTACCGTCCATCTCGGAGCACGACGACGCGAGGTCGGAGACCGCTACCTTCTCCGAGCTGTCGATCCGGTCGGCACCCAGTGTCATCATACACGGGCTGTCGGCGCGCCCACGCCCTCGTGCCGAGGCGGAGCGCTCAACCTGGGCTCCCGGTTCCCAACCACCACCACCACCACCACCGCCCTGTGAGTCTCCGGATGCAGAACGCCTCGCGGGAGTAGGGCCCTGGCCTCACCTAGAGCCCTCCCCGGCCGTATCAGAAGCGCAGACAGCAGGAGAAACCCAACGACCGTCCGCCAGGCCCACCCCGCCACCTATCGACACTACATCAACATCCACACCAATACCAAGACTCCCGCTCTCGCGATACAGCAGCGATGAATCAAAGCGCCCAAGGGCCCCTCTACCCCCACTCATCGGCCTCCAGGCCCTAATCAGCACAACCCAACCCGACGCAAACCTATCAGCACTATCGGTCTCACCATGCTCGCCATGCTCACCCTCCTCGCCCTCAAACGCCACCAACTCCCCCCTCACCAGCACGCCACCACCGGGCACGAGCCAGAACTCCAGCAGCCGGGCCAGCCCGCCCAGCCCCCTGGCACAACTACATAAGAGACAGCGGCAACAACAGCAGCAGCAGCAGCAGCAGCAGGCGTCGCCGACGGCCGAGACACCATACACGCCCCTAGACCAGCACGTCATGGCCATGTTCACGCAGAGGACGCTGCCGACCAAGAAGATCCAGCCGGTGGTGCACGAGCTCGGGGGGACCCGGATGTCGGTGGGGGTGGAGTATAAATATAGGGGAGGAGGCGGGGAGGGGGGAGTGCAGGGGGAGGAAGATGCTGATGATGGTGATTATGGTGGTGGTGGTGATGATGATGATAGGCACTGGCCGTACCTGGCGTACATGGCACGCAAGCAGGCGGTCGCGACGTCGAGGTGGTCGTTACGGAGGACACCAGCACCAGCGAGGAGGGAGGGTTGAGGTTCTTGTGCTGTGGGGGTTTGTAGGAGCGAGCGGTGGCGATGGTGGCGATGGTGGCCAGTGTTGAGGTGGAACATCTTATTTACCTAGGTATGTAGTACATTGTACGCTACAGCAACCGAAAGAAGAAGAAGAAAAAGAAAACAACTGAATAACATCAAGATGTGTCCCAATCCTGGGGCCCACGAAACCCTTACCCATCCCGCCCGCTAGTTTGGTCATGATTCATAAGCGCCCGGGAGAGCCAGCAATCACAACAAATAAGTCCTCACACCATCGGATATGGTGTAATGGTTAACATCGGTGACTCTCATCTTGAGTTCTCACCAGCTCGGGGTTCGATTCCCCGTATCCGAGGATGATTAATATTTTTGCACTTTTTTTCTTGCCCTTTCTCCTGAAGAACTGAGCGACGCGACGGATTCCTTGGGGTTCTTTTTGTCTTTAATGTCCGCCATAACCGCTGTATTATTATTAGCATAGTAATCTCTCGAAATAGGCATGTAAAAACGTTCTGCCGGTACCAAATATAAGCATTGTAAAGCGGGACGGGCCCGCCCGGACATTATTACTACGCGTGGCAGTGCTCCTGCTCATCTCTCCCCATGCCCACCTTACCCCCTTCACCTGATATGCACAACCTCCCGACCACTAGCCGTGGGACAAGTTCCCCTATGTGAGTACACTATGGGATCTGTGTACGCTTGGGTCGCAGCGAGTCGCATCTATACTATGGCACCCAAGCACACTAGCACTAGTGCTGAGTAGTTCAGCACACAGGGAAAATCTTGGAAAGCCTGGATGGCGGAAAAAACACCGCATCATAAGTAGTATACATGATACCGGCATACCGGCTGACCGGCATGTCGCGAAGACTACCTTAGGTAGGTAGGTAGTATACACACTATAGTAGCCTCTCAGCTCCTGCAAGCTAGTATCAGGCCCCATTCTTTAGGGTAGACTTAACGATGTAACAAGGTGCTGATGTTATGCACAGTACAACATCGCTCGATTGTCGGAGGAAAGCGGGTCTGAAGGCTGGGGATAGGCTGACCTAGCCGTACATACTTACAGGTGAGTAGGTAATCGATATATGCTTAAGTGTATTCCTAACAGGTATATGTGCCCTAGGGTATGTAGTTGGCGTCACATGGGAATTGTCGGCACCTTGCGACTAGCATTACAGCACGTATTGATGATACAGAAGGCACACCTGTTATAACCCACGGTCAAGGTACCAGGGATCATATAGAGGAAACGGAAGAAAGGAACTAACGTGCAGTATAGCACCTAGAAGGGAATATAGGACCTACTAGGTTATATGATATAAATTAGTTAGTAGGACTAGATATATTAGATCAGTAATATATCTAATATATCTAGAACTAGATATATTAGATTACTAATATATCTAAGTAATCTACTAATAAAGAGCTAGATATATAAATAGGATATTCTCTTAGTAGTAGATAGATATCTCTTAGCTCTTTAGCGATTAATCTAAGTATTAATCTTATTATTAATAGGAGTAATCTCTAATTAACTATAGCGACTATATTATATAGAATACCTTAAACTTCTTTATTGATATAAACCCTAGTTCTAGTAGAAAGTACTCTTTAGTTAACCTCTACTATAATTAGTATATTTTAATTGCTCTTATCTAGAAGGTTTAATATATAACCTCTATATAATACTATAGTACTTTATAATAGTATGCCTATCTAGCCTTGATGCTATTCTCTAGGCAGGTGCGAGCCTTCTTCGAGAGGGAAGCGAGCATACGCTCTCTAGGGGCGTACTTAGCGCACTGATTGACGAAGGGCTTAATATAGTAGGCGTTCTAGACCGTCGCAGTAGCCTTGCCTTTACCCCGGCGCGGGGTCACAGCAGGTGAGGTCATCTAGATGTCGTCCTCATCGTCGTCGAAGACTAGCTGCGAGCTAGAAGATACTATAATACGGATATGCAGCAGACAAGATACTAGGCGAGGCGTTAGAGATATCGGAGTTACCCCCGCTCGATAGTCGAGCGGGGGAGGGCGAGAAACTTACTAGAAGAATGAAGGGTGAAGAGGAAGGGAAAGGAGAAAGGGTCAACAGCAGGGGAGGGGTCTAGTTTATATAGACCCCCTTGAGGGCGCGGCGACCTTGCCCTCGTCAGCGCCCTCGCTGCCTACCTGATTAGGAGGGCCTAATTAGGCAGGCAGTAGAATTTCGCTTTCCTAGCGGGATAGCTGCGAGGTATACAATATATAGCTGCCCTATAGCCTTAAGCTATATACTCCCCCTAGTATAGCTACAACGTAGGTGCATAGTACTAAAGTAACGAGTACTCTATAGGCCTGCTATAGTATTATAGCTGATACGCAGTATATAGGTTTTCTCCGACCTATATATAGTTTTCCTATATAGGTATTCTGAAGAGGGACTATATACTATATACGCCTTCTTAGCTAGCTAGCTTCGATAGGCTTGTATAAAAAGAATATTATTATTATTATTATTATAGTACTTTATAAGCTTGAGTCTTTAATAAACTCCCTTGAATTCAAATAACTTATTTAAGGTAGATATTAAAGAATTTAGATAGGAGTTCTACTATATATATAATATATATGAAACCCTTAGTAGTGATACTCTCTCTAATGATAGTATAAATACCTCTAAACTAGTAGGCAATATATAGGTAGAGAACCCCCTAATAATACTACTTAGGGATAAACTATCTTATTACTTTAAGGTCGATAAGCTTTTATACTTTATAGGTAAATATAGAACCCTATAAGGATTTCTTACCCTTAGTTATATCTACTTTATCTACTTTACTAAAGACTTAAATACTCCTAAGAAGAGAGTCTTATTAATCATTAGTAGACTCTAGGATAGTACCTTAGTCTAGTTTAAACCTATTATTAGAGACTATATTAGAAATCTAGACTATTTAGATAATATGAAGAAGTATACTACTAAGATCTTTAGTAACTATTCTATCTTTAAAGAAGCCCTTAAAGGAGCTTTTAGAGACTTAGATACTAAAAGATTAGTAGAACGAAAGCTAAGTATACTAAAGCAAACTAAATCAGCTACTAATTACCTAGTAGAATTCTAGTAGATAGTCTTATACTTAGAATAATAAGATAAACTACTTATACTATGCTTCTATAAAGGGCTTAAGGACGATATTAAGGATAAGCTTATTAAATTAGATCGACTAGACTTCTTCTTAGAATATACCTAGATAGTAGTATATATCGATAATCGACTATTCGAATAATACTTAGAGAAGAAAAACAATAGACTAAACTCTAGAAATAAGAAATATAGGAATTATTACGATCGATAAAGGAACTCCCCCTCTATAACTTATAGGTAGTATCTAGGACTTATAGAGCTAAGGGTAGTATAGAAATAAGAAACCTAGAAGTATTTCAACTATAGGAAACCTAGATATTAGGCTAAGGAATACTAGAGTAAGAAAAAGGAGAAGTAGGAACTAGTCCCCTTAAGTAAGAAATATACTAACTTTATAATACGAATAGTTAGGATAGCTTAATATAGCCTTACCTAGGTAGAAATAGACTTCCTATTTGAGAAGAATCCTAGGGAGCTAGAGCTCTAGGAATAGAATAATATATCTAGTATCACTAGTATAACCTCTGAAGCAGAGGATATAGAAGAAGAAGAAGAACCCTTAGGATAAACCTATTTACTTAACGATATATAGTATAATAATAACTAAACTATAAACTTTACTATAATATTAGAATTAGACGAAGTATAGAAGGATCTACTCAAGAAATAGATTAATGAAATCCTATTAGAACCTATAATTTAGCCTAACTATGAGCTAACCTAGTACCTAGGGAAAGTAACTAGACTACTACCTTACGAAAGATTAGAATACTAGTTTATAGTATCAAGTATACTACTATATAAGTATATAGGAGCTAATATAGTAGAAACTTTAAGACTATTAAAGGTATTATACCTCTTACTATAGAATAATAAGTATATAGAATATATTCTATAGATCTTATATATCTTTGATAAGTATCTAGAATACTTTGTAAATAAAGTATATAATAAATTCTTCCTATAAAGGTACTAAGACTAAGATATATATAACTTCTATTATATTAGTAACTTCAGTCTATAGTTCTATAAGAACGAAGTATATAGTACTAATGAATATACTATCTTTGAGTATAACTTCGATAACTACTCCTAATAGTACTTTACTAACTATAGTACCCTATAAGATTACTCTTTATACTATTATAAGGTATATAGTAATGAGAAAATTAGTACTTAGTACTACTAGATATATAAGGAAAAAAAAGAGGCTCTCTGAAAGCAATAGGAGTAAGCCTAATAAATCAGAAGGCAAGTAAATATCTAGAATATGTTTATATAAGAGCTAGAATAGCTCTAAGCTAGAGAAAAAGAAAGGACTAGACCTATAGTATAGGAAAGAATTACTAACTATCTAAGAACCCTCCTAAAAGAATAACTAAAAAACGATAATAGCTATTAGGAGTAGAACTACTAAATAGTAAGAACCTATTATAGTTCCTCTATACTATAAAAACAGATATTAACGACTACCTCGAACTAGAAATACTTATTAGAAAAACTCGAGCTTATACCCTTATAGATAATAGAGTATAAAGTAACTTTATTTCACTTAATTTAGTAAATAAGGAATAACTTCTATAGTAATATAAGGAATAAGTATATACCTTAGGAATAATCTCAGTAAATCTTATCGAATACGATAATAGTACTATCTATAGGGAGACTAATTACCTACTTATTATAATTATAGGCTATATAGTAGAATTATAGTTTGATATTTTCGATACTCTAGAATATAAAATTGTTTTAGAAATACTATAGTTAAGGAAGTAAAACCTAGATATTAACTAGACTACTAGCTAGATCTACTAGAGAGATACCCTAATAGATAAGATAGCTAATATAGTAGTAGAAATAGACTTAGTCCCTAGAGATAACCTAAGAGAAGGGCGCTTAAATAAGACCTTAGTTACTCCTAAGAAGATAGCTGAGAATAGCTTAGGGAAGAATATAGCCTCTATATAGACTAAAGAATAGCCTATAAGTATATTAGATAAACAATAGTAACCTAAAGTATACCCTATAATAGACTATAGTTATAGCTAAAAAAAGAATAGTATACTAAAAGATATAAGGACCCTTGAATAGAAAAAGAAACTAGAAGGAGCTATATAAGATATTGAGAACTACGAAAAGGCTTATAAAGTAGTAGCCTCTATAAGGATAGCTTAACGAATAGTAGTATCTCTAAAAAGAGATACCCTTATAAGATAGAGAAAA